ATCGAGATGGCTCTAGAAAGCCTAATCCTAGAAGACAGAGAGAGAGTGCTATCTAGCATCGACCCAGAGAAACCAGTGTGTGAAGAGAAGATCCCACTGCCAGAAGAAATGGCAGAAGAGGCAAAAGACTGGTGGTACTATGATGACATCAATGGAAAAGAGCTTCTACCTGAAAAGGTAGAGAAAGCCAGAAAAGATGAAATCGACATTGTCGAATCAATGGGAGTTTGGGAAAAGATCCCAAGAAGCAAAGTTCCAAAAGGAACCAAAATCATTGGAACTCGATGGGTAGATGTGAACAAGCAAGATGAAACCAATCCTCTCTACAGAAGTCGATTGGTAGCGCAAGAGATCAAAAGAGGCTCAGGTTTTGACGAATTTTTCGCAGCCATGCCGAGCCTTGCAGCTTTGAAGCTACTGCTAACCATTGCAGTCAGCGACAGCCTTCCATTGGAGAAAGGCGAAAGAAGAAAAACAAAACAATCATTCCTAGGATTTTTAGATGATGTGAAGAGAGCTCATTTCTACTCTAAAGCAACAAGAGAACTCTATGTTGAAATTCCATCAGAAGGCAAGAGACCTGAAGATGGAGATGTGGTAGGAAGATTGGTCAGAAGCCTATACGGCACCAGAGACGCACCCATGAATTGGGAGTTGACCATTGCAGAGTTTATGAAGAAGCTAGGATTTGTTCAAGGCAAGTCCAATCCATGCATCTACTACCATGCATCCAGAGAACTTCGAACAGAGGTGCATGGAGACGATTTCACGACAGTTAGAAGTTTTGATGACATCAAATGGTTTCACACTTCAGCAGCCAAAGAATGGCAAGTTGTGGAACGAGGCATTCTTGGTCCACCAGGTTCACCAAAGGCAAGCCAACAGATCAGAGTGCTGAATCGCATCATCACCTGATCAAATGAAGGCATTTGGTGGGAACCAGATCCAAGACATGCAGAGTTGATCATCAAGTGGTTAGGCACTGGTCAACCAGGCAAGGTCAAGACCCCTTTGGCCAAGCCAAGTCAAGAGGAACTCCAACACGAAGAAGTTCCGCTGAGTGCCGAAGATGCAACGATGTATAGATCTATTGCTATGAGAGCCGCGTATTTGGCACAGGATCGACCTGATCTGCAAACTGCAACGCGCTCATTGGCACAAGGTCTACAGAACCCAACATCGAGGCACTGGAATATGCTGAAACGATTGGCTCGATATGTCAGGTATCGACCAAGAGTTGCACAGTTGTTTCCAAACCAAAGCACCTACAATCCCTTCAACATGTGGTCAGACGCCGACCATGCAGGTTGCATAAGGACACGAAAGAGTGTGTCAGGAGGCGTGCTCATGGCCAACAAATGCTGTCTCACAACATACAGCAAAGGCCAAGGAGTTGTCTCCCTGAGCAGTGGCGAATCCGAGTACTACGGACTTGTTTCCGGAGCATGTCAAATGCTTGGAATCGCATCAACAGCAAGAGACTGGGGATTGTTTCCCAGCAAAGAGGTGACAATGGACGCTTCCGCTGGCATCGCCATGGGAAACCGTCGAGGCTTGGGACGAGCTAAACATGTTGACACTCAGTACCACTGGGTACAAGAGCGTACAGCAAAGAAAGAGTTTCGTCTCAAGAAAGAAGGCACCGACCGAATGTTGGCCGACGTGCTAACGAAAGCTGTCACCGAAGAGAAAATGACTACAGCTATGAAAGGCATGAACTTCCACTACCTGGAAGGTGAACATGAATTGACTTTGAAAGCGTGAACGGCTTGAGCTAGAGTAGGTACTTCTACAAGACCAAGATGTATTGAAGGGCTATGGGCTAATTCACTAAAAGTGCTAATCCTGACTCGGTTAACATCTCCCAGAAGTTAAACTCGGGAGGCGTGATCAGATGTAGCACCAGTTACATGTACATGACATAGCTTGTATAGATGTATGTTTCACTGCAGCCGTTTGTGGTTTACTTTTGTGTTCATTTCACTACCAGAGCTACGCTTGGAGTGGAGCTAAAAGTGTGCCTAAGCTTCTACTACAACCTTTGGGACAGTGATTTGGGGTCACAGAAATTAAGAGCCTAAATTCTCCGTTCAATATCGATGATAATATGATATTTGTTTTATAATAATCGATTCATAATTCGAAATATATAAATATTTGATTTTAAAAAAAAATGAATATCCATAAGATATTTATTATAATGAAATATCGATGGATTGAATTATAATATGATCTTTAATTACAATGATTCCGCAAATAAATAATATATAATCGAAAATATTTTAGATATATGATATATTTAATTTTTAAAATCAATTTTTAATTAAAATATAAAATTAATTATTTATTTTAGTATATATAGGGGAATAAATTCATTTATAAATATATTTAAAATATATATTAATTTTTTAGTAGAAAGCTCGAAATTATGTGGATATGGTTTTATACGTTTTTGTGGTGTTTTTCTTAGATTATATTTGAAAGAATTTCTACGATTGCGGTCTAGATATATATTTATATTTTTTCTCGATCGAAATAGAATTTTTTTTCTAAATTTAATCTCTAGATCCGATTCTATCCTTCTTTGTTCATAAATATTCTTTTTATTTTAAAGATAACACTTTTTGGACTTCTCCCTCCCCATTCTTTCTGACATGGATTTCTCCCTCCACATTCTTTATGAAATAGAGAGAAGATCAATCCACCAGGCCCAATAAGAATTAATAAATTTGCTTAACAATATCGGATCTGAATAATTAATCAGAATTGGATTTTATATGGCCTTCTTGATATCCATATCCATAATAAATTTCATCTTCATTCTCAAGATCATAAGGAATTATTCTACGATTATTGGGAATTAATATCCTATTCCATAAATTCGATTGAATCAATCCTATTCATCTCCATTATTCTCGCCCAATGATTCTTCAAATCTATGCTCCATATCCCCATCATCTACGATAAAATCTTATAAAGAACCTTATGAAATCCATAGAACGATCCAACCATAGATATATTGAGGACCTGCATTAACTGGATGGCCACTATTTTTTAAGATTCTTCTCTTCATTCCCAACCTTCTTGCCCCCACATAAACATACATAAAATCAAATTATATCAAATCTAATAATGTTCACCCAACATTATCCAAAAATTAGCTTAGCTAGAGACCCCAATAGCAAGATATAAATCGGGACAAAAAGATAAATCTGGAAATAATTGCTATTTTCAACATATCGACCATCTCTTCCTTAGATACCATCATCACATAACCAGGACATCACCACAAAATGGCCAGGGCACCATCAAAATATGACCGAGATACCATCCCAACATGACTAGGACACCATCAAAACATGACCGCGTCACCATCACATGATCGAGACCCCATCAAAACATAACCGAGACACCATCAAAACATGACCGGGACACCATCACATGACCGGTACATCATCAAACCATAACCGGCACACCATAATAATATGAACATCAAAACATGACCGAGAAATCAACATCACGACACCAACATCACATGACCCGGACGCCATCAAAACATGCCCGGGACCATCCGCCCACCAGCTCTAACGGTGACCCGGCGGCGCCCGTCCCCCTATTAGATTTACAAGACCCCTTACCATGGCTATTAGAGAAATATTATTTCATATAATGGTATCCAATTCAAAATCTCATTAGACCTCAACAATATCCATCCAAAAAAATCAATAAATTATACAAACAACATATTCTATCAATAATATAAATTATAAACATCAATCAATATTATACCCAAAAACACCTAATCATACCCAAATCCATTTACATCAAATATTCCATGGATCCCATTCCCATCATTAATTATTCAACAAAATTCGTTCTCACATGGTGCCCATATATTTTTAGAAATTATATAAATCCAATCGATATCATTCCCATTCTATTATAATCTAAAATATTTGCTCAATTTATATAATAATATAATTTGATCAAATTCAGAATCCACAATAATATTATATATATAATTCCAAATCCAATATCAATATTTAATATATCCAATATTTCATTCTATCTCATTTCATCTATATTAGAAATTCCATTTTACTATATTCTTTAGCTATATATCTATCTCTTTCTTTCATTAAATATTTTAAATCATCAAATCAAGATATTCTTCCCCATTCCACCATTAAAATCATATATATAAATATACACCCTCACCGCATAAAACCTAAATTCCCCATTCCTTCTCCATATTCTAATATACAATAATTGAATTGACATAATTCTAATCTATCAAATCTCTCATCAAATTGTTGCAAAAATATTAATTATCATACTTCCCACGCAAAAATCCATCAACCATCATCTATCTATCAATAAATTCAAGATATCCCATCATACATCATCAGGTCATCACCTCTATGAGGGAGATATTGTTAATATATTAAAGTATAATTTACCGTAATAGGATGTAATAAAAGATTTGATTTATGGATTTGAATGTGGTATTGGTGGGAATAAAATATTGATTGGGGAAGAAATTGAATTTGTGCAAATATTTGATTTATATTCTATGATATAATCGGTGTAATTTATCTGTCTTTCTCCCTTCCTTCTAATTAATATATCCTTTTTCCATCAAGGGTGCCAGGGATACATCCGATCCCTAAAGGATCACAGATCAGGATATTGGACGCATTTTGTTACGCCAAGCAAGCGGTCTAGCAGGGCCCAACACATCTTCCACAACCTTCTTGCTAGCGTCCTTGCTCCTAGTAGTGATTGTTACTAGTAGCTTTTTGTTACTAATAGTAATGCCAAGAGCTACTAGTGGCTTCTTGTTACTAGCATGCAGTATGACATAAACAGTTGCTCCAAAAGCTGCCCTGTCGTGCATGTCTTGGTCGTGTGTCATTGTCACGATCCAATACTTTCTTTTGGTGCATTCGTTAAAGCTCTGCTGCACACCATGATCGACGCCCAACGATTTGATGTAAACAGCCGTAAACTTGGTGCAGCAGTAGCTTCGCAGGGCGAATGCACAGTGAAATGGCTTTGAAAAAATAGCCCCAAAGAAGAGAGGCTTCATCTTGTGAAAGTGCACTATCTTGCTAAGCTTCGCGAAAGCAAGAAACTGGGGAGGACAACCGAGTCCTAGAGGACATCTGCGGTGCCTGGTCTTACTCAGCCTTGGGCTTTTCTGTGACGCGGTACGGCACATTAGGTGGCTTGTAAAATTTCCAGCAGTCTGGCGCCTCACACCGTGAGACAACGAAGAACGTATTTCCAAGAACCAACGGTTACTAACGCAAAGTACAAGACAGAACTATATAGTCAGAAAGATCTCGGACTAGACAGCATGACTGGCAAGAGATGACAGGAATTTCTAGGTGCTTCTTCGCCCCCCGATCTGCAAAGTAAAGCTGACAGCCCTGCCTGGCGACTTTCACAAGTCTTGCTAACAGCAAGAAGGATCAGGCCGCGTCCCACCTTCCAAATTTTTGCTTGTCCAAATAGCACCTCACATTGAAATCACAACCCCCAACGCACAATACGCCACATTCCGTCCATTCACTGAGGCTGGTGATTTCAACGCACTTTCAATGGTTAGAAAACACCTTGAAAACCTGAACCCAAAACCTTTGGACCCACCATGAGCCCAAGTCACAAACAGGACCAGTACTCCCAGCAGCACGTTTCCTCAGCGAAATCATGTGCTGTGCAACCGGTTAATGTGCTTGTATGATCTTCTATGTTCGCGTATGCCTCCAAGGATCGTAGAATGGTCATGACACGGATTGCAATATGACACCAGCTGTGCTCATCGAGGAAGCCCTCGAAGGAGATGTAGGCCCTAAAAAGGAGTACGAGCAAAACCAAGGCCATCCACTTTGGTTTTTTCCAGCGGAAAAAGGCTCGAAGACCTTCTGCATATGGAAGGATGGCTTTCTTTGCAGCATCAGCCTCAAGTGATACATGCCAGAAAACGGCGTGTGGCCCAATGGGGTTGGAGCATCAAACTGTGCGACTCTGTGCGTCTTAGCGCCTCAAATTGAAGTGTTGAGACCAAGCTCAGGATGGTCTTTGGCACCAGGAAGCGCGGAATTGAGGGGACTGACGGACGAACTGACACATCCCAGGCATCAAAGGTCCCCTTCCTCAGTCATTAAACTCTCGATGCTTCTCGGTCTATCAAATCAGGACCCCCTTTGAAGCTCAGATTTCAGAAGGCCAAGTGAGCCAAGTGTCATTGATGGGTCCTGAAAATCTTTCTCGTCAAAGTCCACCTCAATCCTCGGGGAAAGGAGCCAGCATTGCAGTTGGGGTTGATAGATAGAAGTCTGATCTGACTGATCTAGGCCTAGGCGTACTTGCAATCTGCAGCGCAAACTTGGACACAAATGGTGGCCCCCTCCCTGATGGCCATTGAGAGAGAATATGGGAGAATGCCCCACAAGCAAAGGACACACGCACGCCGCAGCAGCAAAACATATTTGGTACATCCCAAATGCTTTCCTCACTCCGGGGGAGTGGTAGCGTTCTTGCTCCTAGTAGCGATGCCAGGAGCCCCTAGTAGCGTCCATGCTCCTAGTAGCGATGCACAAGGTCCCTGAAAAGTGAGCAATCATTTATCAGCCGCGGAGCTTTTGGCGATGAGGATTTCCTTCAGGCTTGGTCTTATCCACATGGATCTTGGTCACAGTGCCCCTGCGCCGATCATGGACCCTCACCAATGTGTCCACCTCGAGGTGATTGCTTCCTCACGGGGCACATGCTTGTCAAATTGAAGCATCTATGGAGGTCAAAATGATGCAGCAAGCGCCTAGCCTGATGCAAAATCAAGGAACCACAAGTCCCGCAAAGCCTGCAGGACAGTCTAGGCGCAGGATGAAACTGATGTGAACACTGAAATGGCCTTCATGAGCTGGTCAAAGGTCACAGTCAGTTCGCCATCTCCCTGGACGATGGTGCCGGCAAAGTGCACCAGCTCCTAACGAGCAAACCCCTCAGCATCAAAGCAAGACTTTCACTGCAAGGATTGTGCCGACCAAACCCACTTTGCATTTTTCCAGCGCTCTCGTGTTTGTTAACCATTATGGTCGCCGTGGGGGTAGCTGTATGTCCTGCATGCTGTTGATTACTCCCATTCTCGACTGAACCATTCCTTGGTGCAAGTGCAATTCTGTGTGCACTGGGACGAAACTTGAGTTTGAAGACTCCAATGGCCCATTGGCCGACAGAGTGCAGCCGTTTAATCGCAGCTGCCACAGCCCGCTGCCCCCCCAAAAGCTATACATACTGCGAAACATACAGGATTCGGAGTACTCAACAAGGCGCCAATGACGCACTGCTACTTGCTGCCCTGCTGCGGATGAGATAGTAGTACATCTCGTTGACATCTCGGCATTGAGCGATCAACTGCAAACCTTCCTGTGCACAGCAAGCCACGAAGTTCTTGGAAGTAGCCGTGAAATTGACAATTATTATTTCTGCAGGGTATACGGTCTACGTGCAAGAGTTGGTGCCCTTGTGGCTACCAATCATATCCGATAGAAAACATGTACGAAACACAAGAAAATGTCTGATAATGGGGAAGAACACAAGTGTAGCGTAGAGCGAAGCAAAGCAAGAGGCCCACTAAAAAACAAAGGTGCGGTATGACAACACCAGTTGGAATAACATGTGGAATGAAAGCGGCACTGTAGAGCGAACAGAGCAGCATAACTGGTGAAACCAGGGGAATACAATCACTGTATGTGATCGAGGCAATCAACTTTCTAAAAACGTTGTGCCAGGACACAAAAGAACTGACACAATTTGCGAAATCTAGATTTGCCAGATTAGTGCATATGCAGTGATTGTGCTGATGGGCAAGCGATCCCATAAACTCAAAATCTTGGGTGCAAGGTCAAGACTTTGCCGAGGACATGTCTTGGCTCAAAACAATAGGGCTGAGCAGTCTTCACAAAGGTTTCTTGGAAATATGGTGTGTTTTCAAAAAGGATATACATTATACAGCCAGGTTTTTTGCAGAGGGAAGAGCCCCGTGCAAAGGAGCAGGTGTTATAAAACAGCATTGAAGACTAAAGGGGGCCATGGCAAACGAAACAACCTGGAAGCCCTTGTAAACGGAAAGCACGTAATAACAAAACTGGATTTGGTTGAGGGGAAACATTTCAAGGAAAGAGACTTGGGAAAGGAAGAAACTATATATGTACTTTAAGAAAGCCTTGTAGGAACAATAGCAAACTCCAGTGAAGGGTTTCCTTTCCACGGGGAATGTCTTGCTTGACAATGGCAACCTTTGGAAGGGATGGCCTTCATGAACGAGGCACTAACTTCAAGCGCAATAAAGCCATGGTAAACTTAACGAACCGGTTCTCCGACGCTCTATACACTAAGCAGCGCGCATGCGCCTTTTTGTCTCCGGTTCATTTACAATCCCGCAGTCTTCGGCCAAAAGCGAATGAGGAACTGGTGGAACGCGGAAACTGTAATTTCCGCTTCTTGCCAATACATCCTGCAGCCAGCCAATTCTTAAGCCTGCGCCCCTGCCGCACCAGCTGATGAGAGGCTCAGACGTGCCCTGGCCAAACATCCGGGGCGCAAGGGGCCAACTCCGAGCTGCCCCTGAGCTGGAGTTCCGGCAGCACGCATTTAAAATTAACGTATGCTCCATTGAGAGCATTATCGCGATCACCCCTCTCCAGGAGCTGAAGCCTAGTTCATGCGTGCGCGGGGTGGCCCTGGTCAAGTATCTCCTGATGGGTGGAGCACGCTTTGATGCGTGGCCGCTTGGCACAATCATGTTGCGAAGGTCCGCTCTCGTTGCACCACTCACCAATCTGGCCAAGACATCAATCCTTGATCTCCTTGGCTGGTCAGGCCGAATGCTTTCGAACCTTTGCAGGCCCTTCACGGACTCCTGCTACGCTCCTTGATGCCCTTGAGAAAAGTCACGATTCATGCGGCCAACTGAAACTCGATAGACCTCAGTGAAGGGCATCTTCAATGAGGAGTTCATCAAGGGTGTTCTAGTCGCGCCTGGCGTACAGCCACCTTCCAATCGTGAGCGCCCACGCTGTGCTTGGGGCCCGTTGCAGGGCCTGCCAGGCTGCGTTGGACACCAAGCATGACGCGATCCAACCCAACAAGTCTACACAAACGCCCTACCGATATCCTCACCCACAACTGCTTGCAGGCCATCCACAATGAAGTCGTCCTCAACCCAACGCCGCTCCTCATCTTGGCATCAGAGCACGTGGGCATCACAGCAAGAATCGCCAAACCTCTTCCAGCAGCCCAGTGCGTTGAACAGAGCCCATGCGCTCTGCAATCTCCAGGCCCCGCTGCGACGCCAGCCCTTGTCAAAAGAACCTTGTTCTCAAGGACCTGTGCAGGACTTCGAACCCGGCTGAGGAGCTCTTCAAAGTCACAGCACAAATCCCGAAAGTAGATGGGCAATGCTGCCCTGGGTCCTGCAACAATCTGCAATGGCTGCGCATCCTTCTGCGACCTCTCTCATGAAGTTCGCCATGGCCAACATCATGGAGTGGCCAAGCCTTGAGCCTGCTTGCAGCGCTGTGACGGTGTCCAAATGACCCTCCTGTCCATGGCCGCTTCACGGTGGGCCTCCGACCAGCGCTGAAATCCACCCCCAAAATTCTGCAGGACCTCGTAGACCATAGGGCGTTGCTGAGCGCGTCGGCGCAGTGGCATGCTTGGCCCTTGTGGATGACGCTGAGTATTGAGTCTTGTCCACTGCAAGGTATAATCCACTGCAGCTTTGCTCACAGCTGCGCCACTCCAGTTGATGCTGATACCATCGATCCAAACATCAATGTCGGCCGTGGGGTACGCTTCCGCAATGCGTCTCAGGGATGGAGCGAAAATCAGCGTTGCCACCTGTGGAGCCGCCAGGCATGCATGCTAGACGCCTTTCTCACAAAATGCTGGCGCAGCAACTGCTTGTTTCCCGTGCGCCCATGACCAAATTGAGGACTGATGCTCAAAAAGCGACACTTGAAGGGACACATTGTCATAAAAGCTGGCAAGGTCTGGTATGAAGCTAGCACGCTAATGTGCGTGGCCTGCTGTCCAAGTACTGCCTTCTTCCACCCAACCTGCTTTTTGCCAGCTCTTGGCAATGTCTCCACGGAAATTGCGCCACGCCTGCGCACCACACTCGTTAAGGCAATGGCCTGTGACTATTTGTTCTAGGGCGTTCTGTCTTCAGGTTTGGTTGAGGCCCAGCACGCCGAAGCACAGGCGTGCCGGTGGCGGTGGCGGTGGTGGTGGTGGTGCAACAGATCAACTGTGAGCTCGTCCGCGCAGCTCCTTGTGCTGCTCGCTGGTGAATGGCCCCGACATCACCCTGCAACCGGCCAGCAACGCTGCGAAAGGGACGGACAAAGCGAACAAGTGTTGTAAAGCCCTTCAAATCCAAAACGGAGGCTTGTCGAAACAGCTGCAAGCGCTAAATTGGCAGTTGAGCGTGCGCTCTCAAAGCATATACGGCTGGGAGCCAGGGAGCCGGCGTTCAAATTCTCAAAAATGAGCCCACCGCTGCTCCAAGTTTGCGTGTGTCATCATACCACACACTCACAGAGCCCCTCCGCGTGCGTGTGCGTCAAAAGGGCGCTTGGCTGCAAGGACCCCTCCCACCTTTCCACAGTGACAAGGCTCATTGTGAACGTCTCTGCCAGGTGCCGCTCAAAGTCCTTCTGTTGGTCAGTGGCATGCGCAATGCCAGAATCACCCAAGGCTTTCAACACACGTTCTGCTGCATCCGTGGCCAAGATCGCAGGTTCCTCTTCCTTCAACATCTCTGCGTAAGCAGCCGGTTGCTCCGTAACTGTTGCTCCTATGGCCTCTTGCACTCCCTTCAGCTCCTCCAGCAGGACCTTGTACTGATCCCTGTCTTGCGCTGGAGGGATTGCTTGCGATTGGCCAAATTTCGAAGCTCTGGCCTTCAACTTGCCTGTAACAACAACGGCCGCCGGCTTCGGAGGTGTAACCAAGTTCCCCCTGCCGATTTCATTAGCTGGGAAGGTCCTGCAAAATGGGCCTTCAGGATTTCTTCAAGCGGCTGAGTTTCTATATATTTGGTTTGCACACGCCACCAGTTCATGGATTTGGTCGGATAGCGTCTCCTCCAAGAAATGGTGCTGTGACAGGCGGTCGCCTTGGAGACGCCCCCGACAGCGCAAGGACAAAGGGTCCCCTGACTGGCAAGAGGACTGGGTCGAGTCATGCGGAGGCTTTACTGAGGAAAGGCTGGAGTTCCCTGAGCAGGGATGCGCAAAAAGCTTTGAAGAGCGTTGGATGAGGTTTCACGCCGGAGCCTGGCTCTCCCACTTGCGGCTTTCTCGAAGCCATCCCACCCAAGTGTCACCATGGTCTGGTTATGCGAAACCGATCATTGGCAAAGGCACGGCCAACCTTCTCGAAGACAAAGAGAAAGCAATCACGTAGATCTTCAGCTCCACAATGACGGGCAACGTGAATTGACACCCACGAGGTCCAATGAGGGTCACACCACGTCCATCGTTTCAGCCACTTGAGCCAATGGCTGAGCCATGCATCTCTTTTTTTCTCGGTCCTTTTAGGTCTGCACTCACGAGCGCCACGGCCACAAGGCCAAAAGTGGCGGAACCGCCAAGGCTCATTCTCCTTGCAGCGGTGGGATGCTACCCTAACAACAAGAAAGCTGCCGTGTCCACGAACCGCATCTCATAGCCCCTAGCTGTCTGGGCTCTGCGGTTTGAATTGCAGCTTCAATTGCACCCTCTTGCTGTCACAACCATTGGACATCCAAAGTTGAACGCGACCATCTTGTTCTTTGGATGTACGACCACAACGCTGACACTCAAGCCAGACTCCCCTCCGCCAAACATCATGGGCGGTGTGCGCACGCGTTCTGAGGTTCAACCCATCTTCAGCCAGCCGACCAAAACGACACTCAGAGCTTTTCAACTTCTCAAGGACAGCCTTGCCACTGCGAAGACGGATCTTAGCCCAGCAGCGGCTGCATCCAAACGTGGTCGCCCGCAGCTCCCATTTGTGCCCTGGTTGGTCGTCCAGCAAAGCCTCAATGTCCTGCACCAATTCAGCCATCGTTTGTTTCAAGGTCTTGGAGACCGCACCTGGGCAAACTGTAGCTTGTTTGGTGCTCACTGTGTGTACTGCCGGCCTTGATCCTCTTGCCACAGTGTTCACAGACCACTCCTTGACGGTGATGCTGCCACTCGTGTTGCCCTTCAACCGGGGTTTGGTGCACCAGCTGATTGAACAACTCAACTCTCCCCTTGGGCTTCTCCGAACGGACCTTGTACTCAGTCTCAACCTTCTCCAGCTGCCCATGCATGAAATGGTCAGGGTCCCCAAAGATGGCGCTGACCCTGCTGGCAGCAACCTCATAGATCTGTTGG